TCTGAGGGTGCCAGGCACCCGGTCCACTGCCGTCTGAGGGTGCCAGGCACCCGGTCCACTGCTCTCTTCCTGCCCCACTCTTGTCTTTTCTTACCAAGCTGTGTGTCTTACGAATCTCCTGCTGTTCCCGTGTCTTGTCTTTGTTCATGACAATTTTCTGCCAACAATCAACTAAAGGTCTTACATTAAAGATGCCCGAATCAGACAGTGCTCGGAACAATGCCCTCATTGTCTTACTTTCTATTTATTCATATTTATTACGAGGCTCACTCACTGCCTGACTGGCTTATCTTGTCCTAGAGAGAATAATACACTCTCTTTTCAAGACAGCCCTGTGAGAGGTCAGCGGGCTCAGCACAAATCGTGACTCCCGGATCCCAGGGAGATTTCAGCGCGGGAGAAGGTTCTCTTGCTGAACATGAGTTTTGATTCAAAGCTGAGCTGCTACGAAATACTTGAGTCTTCTAAGAGCCTGCAGTTTATAGAACAGAATCCCTAACAAGGAGCACAAAGCACTCACAATTGCACACCCAGGAAGCCACCGCAACTGACTCTGCACAACCAGGACACCCAGGATGTGCTTGGTCTCCAGGCCTCTGGGAGGTGGTCTTGCCCACAGTGGGCCCTTGGGGGTTCGGTGCACCCGGGCCTGACACGGCCCCACTCACCTTTGCAGCGGGGCCGCTCATCTCCCAAGCTCCAGGTCCCGTTGGCCTGGCACTGGAGCAGCCTGCGGCCCTCTAAGTAGTAACCTGGGCTGCAGCTCAGCAGGACCTGGGCTCCGTACTCATTCGGCTGCCCGGACACCAATTTCCAGAGGACGTGTTCAGACAGCTGCGCCTCGATGCTGGGGCAGGGCACGGCTGGAAAAGAACAGGAGTATCAGCAGAGTCTGGGAGGTGGGCCTTGGGGGGTAGGGCCTACGGGTGGGGCCTAGGGGTGGGGTCTTGAGGGTTGGGGCCCTTGGGGTTGGGGGCCTTGTGGCAGGTGGGCGCTGGGGCACTGCCCAACACAGGACCCTTGGCCACGGCCCGCACTGTACAGTAAGTGACCACCAAGGAGGACGAGGTGGCTGTGGAGGCGGACTGCTGCACAAGGGTAGCCTCTCCCACCCAGGGGAGAGGGGCCTCTCCATCCAGAAAGTGTGCACGTGTGTGTGAGACCGCACCACACATCTGTCTCAGCTTCTGATAAGCCGGGAGTAGTGACCGTGAAACTGAAATCCAGTTTGGAGGTTCCCTCGTCCCTTCCGTTTTAGCACACACACACAGACACATACACACACACACTGCACATGTCCATGTGACCAGCATAGGCTCACACCTAGTCGCGCTGCACTGCTATTGCTACCAAGATCTCAGCAAAGACCTGGCGCAGCGGCAGCTTGCCGGGCAGCGCAGGTGTAAGCCGCCCCACGCCCGTGTGAGCCATGGTGCCCAGCGGGTGTGCATCGGTGTGCCGGGATGGTAAGACTGGAAATGAATGTGACGAGTCGCACCCAGAGCCGCTTCTCCCAGGGGGAGCTCACTCCTGCGAGACAGCAGGGCCCGCTGTCCTGGGAACCGACCCGAGGCTCCGGCAGGCCCAGCCGTTCTTGGGACCGACCCGAGGCTCACTTCTGCATCCTGGGAGAATCAGCTAAAACCTACACTTATGTTTTTTGTTTTGTTTTGCTTCTTTCCAGAATGGTAGGAATGCATTTCACTCAAGCCCAGGACAATGGACCAGCCATCCTCAAAACGCTACAAAATCCTCATCTAGCCCCGCGTGGTAATTTAGCAGTCCCAAGTACAGATAAAGAAGAAGGCTTTTTGGCGTTACAACAGAAAATCAATTAGTTTAAAATTTGCGAAGAGTGGTAATTAAAATTCTTACACCTATTCCTCTTGGGTGATTTTAGGTAGTTATCTAAGTTATGTGGGCATGCAAGTGCTTTACCTAACAAGGTAAACAGCGCCTTTCTGTGGTCAGGATACTTTCTGAGTTTCCAGCAAGACTGCCTTTTCTAAAAAGTCCTTTGCCCTCTTACTCTGCTATTCCATTGGAACTCAGGGCATATTTCAAATCAAAAGCCTTTTATTTCAACAACACATGCGCCTCCAGAAGTGAGCTGGGACCTTCACTGCTTGACTTGCCCATGAGCTCGGCTTTGGCCAGCGAGTGAGCTCCAGCTTTAAGGAGACATGATTTATTCTTATTTTTATTTATTTACTTTTATGTATTTAGTACAGGGTCCACAGGATCTACAGGGTCTCACTGCACAGTTCAGACTCATAGTGAGCCTCCTGTTTTTAGCCTACCATGCTCTGGAATTATGAGCGTGCGCCATCTTGGAGCGTCCTGGGAGAGGGGCTGGCAGGGAATGCCGGGATCAAAGCTCAGCTGCTGGGCTCTGCCCAAGCAGGTGCCTTAGTCTGCTGAACTATCTGGCCAGGCCACACATGACTTAGAGACAGGAATGCTCCCGTCATGGTCCTAGCATTTATATTTCTTCCCAGACAGCAGTACGAAGGAAGGGAGAGAAAGACAGAGATAGAGACAGAGACAGTGAGAACAGAAAGGGCAGGTGGGATGCACGCCTATCTATCTATCCATCTGTTTCACATTGAGGAGTGTCAGTAGGTAATAAACATGACATCAAGCATCTTACTTTATTGGGGGATTTTTATTGCATGACATTCATCAAAACAGGATAATTACAAGAATAACTGAAAGATATATTGGAAGTTAAATTTAAAAATCTATCATAGGAAAAGACACCTCACCAAGGATGATGGAGTAAGTGTGCTCAAAGCCGAGCCCTTGAGTGTTCTGAGGGGGGTTAATGGCAAAGTGTCTCATACTGTCCTGAAGTTTAAGATTAAATATCCATCATATTCGTGAGCACCTTCAGCTGGTCACACACACTCCTCACCATGTCTGGCAAGCACAACTCCCACGCCCTGACGTCAAGCGCCATGGACAGGAAGGCCTTGCATCCACTCCGGACTGCCTGCAGCCAGGGCAGCGCAGTGGAAGACCTCATAGAAGAGGCTTGCAGCGGCTGCAGAGGGCAGCGAGGATGACGGGAGGAGAGGTGGAAACGAGGGGGAGACATCTGAGGGCATTTACAGCAGTGCATGCTGCACTGCAGTAACTTAAGAAAAAACAACCTGAACACATTCAGCATTCATTTGATCCACTGGCGGGGAAAAGGAACTGAGGGAGCATGAGGCACATGGAGGCAAGCTCCGCAGCGAGCGTGGCCGTGCAGCAGGGGCGCGTGGCGACCACAGAGGCCTGGCACCAGGGCCGGCCGGGGACGCCCCTGTCCTGTGGTTCTCTGCCTGGGCTGTTCCTACCGCACTGGCTGGAAGGACCCCAAGTTCCTGGAAACTGCAGAGACAGTGAAACCACCCTGAGGCGCAGCCTGACCACACAGAGATCTCTACTTCTGGGCTGGGCAGGAGCTGATCATTGTTCCTGGATGGACCTTGGCCAGCAGTGACGGCACAGATACAGTCATCGAAAGAAGCGTCTATTTAATGAACACATGAACTCCTTGCTGACGTAGCTCTCTGACATTTAGAACTGATCTTGCCATCTGAAAGCGGTGCAGAATCAGCAGGTTCTGTGTGATCTGTGTCACTTTCTTGAAGCCCAAGTGGAAGGAGCCCACACGGTATTATGAGCATGCTGGAGAAGCTGCTAGTGTGAAAATGCACAGCTTGGAGGAGTCCTTCTAGCAGTACTTAATTTTGTTCTAAACTCAGGTTATTTAAGGCATGATAGTAAGTGTAGCATCAGGCTACATTCTTTGGTGCAAGCGTCCGCCCTGGTGATGGAGGCTGGCAGCTCCTGGCTTGGGACAGCACTGTCACACCTTGAGAAAGGAATCAAGAGTGCCTCAGGGATATTTGCTTAAAGAACTCCTACACAGAAGGAAACATAGAGCAGCATCCTGTTGTTATGTGAAAATACAGATGCCCCTGTATCTAGCTCTGTTTAATGAGTACACGTGCATCGTGGGCTCACTCTCTAGCACAGTCAGTAGTCTAGCTGTTTATAAGTTGGCCTTCTACCCTCAAAGGTCCAGGCAAGACACAGTCCAGGCACAGCATGAGTTCTCTGAGATCCTTCTGTGTGGTGCAGTCTCCGAAGCACAGGGCGCCAAGCTCTGGCGCGCAGCTTCAAACACTTCCAACTCACCACTGTTTATTCAGTAATTACGCTGTCTGGGCCTGACTAGTGCCCCAGAGATGGTCTGTGGGGCACGGCGGATGGCTGCAGGCTACACATGCACACTACGGCTCTGCTGATGGGGGGCCAAGCCACTTGCAGAGTTTGGTATTCATGAAACCAAGCCCCGAGAGATGCACGCACACGTAACACGTGCATCGCGTCCTTGTGGTCTTCCGCTCTGCAGTATTTACAGCCATGAAGCCATCATGGGTGCCTGCAGCTTGCTGTACCTGCCTAGAGTGCATCTGCACCTTGCCTCACCGCATAAGAATGCACGGCCTGGCACACAGGAGGTCTACACAGACGGCTGATGGCTAATGGCTTTGACCGGAAAAAAAAATCACTCTTCTACTGAGAGTAGAGTTTACAGTTTACTACCAGATACTTAGCCTAGAGGTTTCCTTCTTCCTAAGTCCAGCACATGTTACGTACCCAGTCATCGTTTTGTCAAACACTGTGCTCACCTCATTCATGCCAACAGCTCTCACTTAGGGCACAGGCATGAATCACATCTGCTGAGCTCAATCTCAGGAAATAATTAAAATGAAGAAAAGGAGCCTTAAACATCTGCCTGGGTGGCTCGTCCTAGTGCAGGCAGAATGCTAAGCAAAACACTGGTATTTATTTAACAGCCTGAGGGTGGAATGAACTGACTTTACTTAGCACATGCACACACTATATCAAAGCTGAAGTATTTGCCGCCTCCTGCAACACAGTGTACTGACCTGCGCATTACGGCAGCCGCCAGGGACAGCTGGAGCTCCGTGTGCCAGCACAGCAAGCGAGAGAGTCAACGGTGGGGAAATGGAGGTTTCAGAAACCACTAAGGAAACAGTTCTCTGGCTGTGAGTTTGGGGTTGACTGTATACACTTTACTGAGTTTAAATGAAGTAAAGCAAACAACTTGCACCCAAACAAAAAGTCATTAGCTTTTCCAGCCTTTAAAACTAAGGAATTTTAGCCAACTGTTCATATTTACCTTCTAAAAAGTGCAGTGAACAATGGAGAGGAAAAACTGTGGAGAAGTTTGATATATTCAAAGTGATATTCAAGAAAGTTTACAGCTGATTTGCTACGTTTTTCAATAAAATGTGTTTACTTTGTTAATGAGTGAGAAACAGCACCAAAATAAGCTTTTACATTCAAATCGACTTTTTGCTGTTGAATAACCTTGTGACTGAGCTTACTATAACTTCTTCACTGGGAAGTAGTTCCGTATGAGTAATGGCTTCATGGCTGTAAATACTGCAGAGCGGAAGACCACAAGGACGCGATGCACGTGTTATGTGTGTGTGCATCTCTCGGGGCTTGGTTTCAGGCCCCCACGAATACCAAACTCTGCAAGCGGCCCAGCCCCCCATCAGCAGAGCCGTAGTGTGCATGTGTAGCCTGCAGCCATCCCCCGTGCCCCACAGACCATCTCTGGGGCACTAGTCAGGCCCAGACAGCATAATTACTGAATAAACAGTGGTGAGCGGCAGTGTTTGAAGCTGCACGCCGGAGCTTGGCCCCTGTGCTTCGGAGACTGCACCGCATCTGAGGACACGCAGATACAGGGGCATCTGTATTGTCACATAATTTTAAAGTAACTGGAGCTAAAGACGTGTATTTTCAAACACATTGGAATATACATGGAAGCTGA